GAGATCACATCTTGGACAATGGATTAGAAGTAGACTTGTGCTCCAAGGTCCAATTTTTTACATGAAGCGAGTTCCTCAAAGAAGGCCATGAGGCTGTATACCGGCCAGCTTGTGGGGTGTGAACCAAAAGCTTGGTTTGTTCTATGTCATATTCAGTCTCGATTATGAGATATCTATGTTTGGAGGAAGATGAGGTATAGTCTCTGAAATTTGCCATCTCTTCGGGCTGCAAAGGACAAAAAGAAAGTCATCAAAGTCAAAATCGAGAATATTAGAATGGGCACAAAGGTCTAAATGGATGAAATGGCCTTCGGTTTTCGGGCGGGGATGAATATCCGTCCCTTCACACCCTGAGAGTAATCTCTCCGATAGTCGGGTCATCTTGAGAGTAATCTCTCTGATAGTCGGGCCACCTTGAGAGTAATCTCTCCGATAGTCGGGTCATCTTCAGAGTAATTTCTCCGATAGTCGGGCCACCTTGAGAGTAATATCTCAGATAGTCGGGCCACCTTGAGAGTAATATCTCAGATAGTCGGGTCATCTTGAGAGTAATCTCTCCGATAGTCGGGCCACATTGAGAGTAATCTATCTGATAGTCGGGTCATCTTGAGAGTAATTTCTCTGATAGTCGGGCCACATAGAGAGTAATCTCTCTGATAGTCGAACATAGAGAGTAATCTCTCCGATAGTCGGGTCATCTTGAGAGCAATCTATCAGATAGTCGGGCCACATTAAGCGTAATCTCTCCGATAGTCGGGTCACCTTGAGAGTAATCTCTCCAATATTTAGGCGGGGATGAGTACCCATCCCCTCACACCCTAAGGTCACCTTCTTCGTACCTGAATCATCTCGTTAAACAAGAACATATCTTTCTTGTTTGACCTATAAAAAAAACTAGTAAAGGAAGAAAAGCACAAGAAAATAAGAAGAAATTATTTTCGCGTCAATACTTTCAAGTCGTCAAAAGTAAATTCAAGTGGTTTGCAAACGTCGAAAGTGATGCTAATAGAATAAAGAGTATACTGTATTTACAGATGTCAAAAGGCGATGGTTGAAAGTGAAGTGACGACGTGAGATCGAGTGTATAAGGCGGCTGTTACAATTGATTTCCATACGGGATTCGTCTAATTACGGCGGCGACAATTGTTGTAAGAATTGCCAACCTAATATGTAATTATGTATAATCATGACAATAAGAAAATACTTGTTTCCCTAAAAGGAATCGTAGATATGCGGCAATTATGATTTCACATTGAAATCACAAATTTCAATGGTTTTGTATTATCCCTATTCAAAGTAAATGGTCATTATATTGTTAAAGTAATTGACCGGGTGTACACGTAACAAAATTACATAGACAATCCTTTGTGCTCTAAACTGGCCTAAGCCAAATTTGATAGTCCGTTGATAGTCCGCCGGTGCTTCATTACCCGTTTTCGGTTTTGGCAAGTCTACATCTCAACAAGTCTTAAAGTAGGGGATATTTATTAAATTTTTATTGAATCTAAATTCATAAAAAAATTTAGATTTGATCTTAATTAAATATATTTTGGTCTAAATAAATATTATGAGCTAATATAATTGGATTAATTATATAAGTCCAATATAATTGGACTAGCCAATTTAATTGGGCTACAAATGATGAGCCTACTTCATTAGACCCAAGATATCATCTTCCTAGAGGTCCATTTTGGTACCACGCGTGAAATGACGTGGCACGCTAAGTCAAACGGAAGGCCAAACATGATCATGCCATGTGTCAGAATGACAAGGCATGCCAAGTCAAATTAAATAGCCAATGAAACTGCGCCACATGTGCTAGTGACATGTTTTGGCCAATCAAATGCGACCTTTCCACACTTCAATTTGATTGGTCGGAAAGAGTTTGTTCTTATCATAACTCTTCCCTCCCACAACTATAAATAGGGGTCTTCATAACTCAGAAAAGACACCAGAAGTTATAACAAGAATCAAGAAAGAGCTCGTGGATCAAACGCTGCAAATTCATCCACAAGTTCAAGTTCAAGCTCAAGAACGAAGAACAAATCAAGTTCAAGCTCAAGAATGGAGAACAAATCAAGTTCAAGCTCAAGAACATAGAACAAATCAAGTCCAGGTTCAAGAACGAAGAACAAATCAAGATTCAAGGAGTATGAGTTCAAATAAAAGTTCGTGCTAGTTGAATTCAAGATCATCGTTCGTGGCAACAACTACATATTCAAGATCAAGCTCAAATGCCCTTGGATTTATTTACTATTGGAAAGAAGAATATGAGGATTCATAGAGATTGTACACTCATATAATTTGAAATCAAATACTACGATTGTTGCAATATTTTTCGGTCTTGATTTTATTTTCTCGACGCAATTTATTGTCTACACAACCATCATCCTAAAAAAAAGCTCCATCAAAATTATATCCAACAAAAAAAAAGAGAGAGAAGAAAAACAAAGTTAAACTCTATTTTTTTTTTCTATTTTCTCTTTTAGTTTTTGCTTCTAATTTTCTCTGATGTGAGATTAACCTTACCTTTTCATCCTACTAATTTTGTGCATAATTTGCAATAATTTTTGCTAAATTACGAGAGAAAAAGAGGAGAGATAAAATAAGAAATATAATGAGAGAAAGGGAGAAGGAAATGAAAAAGAATACATAGAGAAGGGGTTATAGAGAGAATAAATAGGAAGTGAGTTTTTTGAGATTTGGTTATGCAATGCCAACTTTTTTGGGACTGCCTTTGCTAATGTAATTTACGACCAATAATTTACCGATTCCTCTTATGTATTGTTACCTGGTGTCAATTTCTCAATTGTGAACCCAAGTAAGCGGTCCAAAATATAACCATCTCCACCCAATTTTTACTCTTCAATAGACTGATCCTGATAGAAGAATTGGAAGTTTTCATTCAAAAAAAATAAAAATGGATCAAGAGCGCACTTGGATTCAAAGATGGGCTTGTGGTGCTTACTATTAGTCCAATAGAGCTAACTATATTCTTGGGCTACATTTCTTTATGGGCAAATTACAAATTGACCGTCGACTGAAACTAATTACATTTTATAGTTAAAATGTATATGAAAAATATATAATTTTTGTATGTAATATACATATATAAAAAAATTATAAATTTTATCGGTTATTATTTTTAGGATCTACTTATCCAATTTATAGTCATGACCCACTAATATGGAATTGGTTTTGGTATGCAATTTTCGGATAGAATTCCAAGTCTATGACCAAACAAAAGAAACCCACAGTTTCAAGTACAGTCAAAGATCTTTCATTTTTTCCAAGATATAGGAAGTGTAGAACAACTGTAGAAGATAATCAGATATTTAGGTGGTCCCAGTCCAATAAATCGTAGTGGGCCCCCCACATAAGAATTCTACCACTTGGTCCACTTGCTCCCGTTCGTGGGTCGTATTAAGACTTAAGACTACACACACCCACGCGACGCTCAGACCTCTATGCAATATGTGCGGCTTAGTATGTACCTATTTTATCTTTTTTTCATAAATTAATTATTACGAATTAAATACAACTATATATATATATATATATATATATATATATACAAAAACAATATTGACTCACAAAATTCAGATACCCTCACATAAATTGAAACGGAAGAAGTATCTATTTGTATGTGTAAAACTAAATTCTTTGGTTAATGATAAAAGGATCCGATCACACACTTGATGGTCTCAACGTCTTCTCAAGAGTTATGACTATAACAATCTCCAATTTATTAGTTTAATGTACTCTTTCGGTCCACAATAAATGATTTTTTGGCCTTTTTTATGGTTCAAAATATCTGATTTTTTTATATTTTAAAAATAAATTAATTATCTTTTTCCTACATTACACTTGAAGTAAATAATGTTGGAGTATGTGTTAGAAGTGTTTATGTGAAGAAATAGTAAAAGTTAATATGGTCAATTTCATTGCTAATTAATGTTAAAAAGTGTATTTCTTAATTTGTGTGAAAACAGCCAAAAAATCACTTATTGTGGACCAGGGAGTAAATATTTAAGTTTTTGTAATTAATGATTTCGCCCTATTGGTTTGATTATTTGAATTTATGCATCTAGTAATCAGGTAAATAAAGGTCAAAGAATTCTCCATTTTCTTAATTAGAACTCGAAATGTCGTTTAACAGAAGAAATAAAAAGCTTAAGAAGGAATAATTAAATATCTTTGATTCGTTGAATGATTGAAGTGCAAAACTTAATGAAAAAACGCATTCATAAATTAAGTAAGAAATATTTTTATAAAATGGGTAAACTACATGAGAAAGAAGAGCTTTCTCTTTGGTTAAGAAGGAAGATATATCATTACAATGATCCCAATTCCCATCCTTTTCTTATGGTCTAACAGTTTTTGTATATATTAAAAGAGTTTACATTATATACTTATACTGTGAATTTCGTATACACTATTAGGGATTGTTTGGTATGATGGAGGAGTAAAAGTAATTTTGGGATAAAAATTTAGTATCGTCTTATTTCTTATTTGGTTACTAATTCTGGAATAAATTATACCTGGATTAAAAATATTACTGAGATAATTATACATGCCAGAAAGTGGAATGGTAATATCAAAATAAGTTATTTCAGGATAAACCAATAAAATTAATAATCCTAACATAATTAATCCAGTATACTAATCCAATCATAATTTGTATTCAAACCAAACGATCCCTTAAGTTATTTAAACGGTATATATATAAAAATAATCCTAAGTAAAAAGTGAGATTCGTAATTTTAAAAATACTATTGATAGTATAATTTCTTTAACCCCATCGATAAATATGCTAGTAGTTAAACTTTTTAGTTATAAATATGCCTCCCCATTGGAAAAGAATTTTCACTTTTTGACATGTTTAAATTTTCATCATGGTCTGACCAAAAAGAACAGAATGTTTCAGATTCTTTAAAACGACACACTATACATAATAAAACGGCAACCACTTGACCCCTCTCCAAATCGCAACCACGCATATATAGAAAAAAGGAAAATAGCGAATCAATCAAATAATCTTCTTATACCAAGTCCCTCACATCTACACCCTCAAAACTCAAACCCCATTTGCAGTAGGTAAAAAAATTGTTAGTGAAACTTTTGAAGATTGAAAAAAATGGACCAAAATGTGTTAGATGATATTATAAGTAGGCTTCTTGAAGTAAAGGGTAAACCAGGGAAGCAAGTAGTGTTAACAGAGGCTGAAATCAAACAGTTGTGTTTGATTTCTAAAGAGATTTTCTTGAAACAGCCTAATTTATTGGAACTTGAAGCACCCATCAAGATTTGTGGTAAAAGTTTCAATCTTTTTTCCCGTTAATTCTTGATTAATTGGTAATTAGTTCTTTTTAGCTGTTTGGGTTTCATTTTCTTGTAAAGTTGACTTTTTTAGATGATGGGGTTTTTGTATTAGTTGCTAAGATTGCATTATTTTTTCTGTTCTATGTTACATGGTGTGTATCTGATACTGATATTTTTCCCTAAATATTTAGTGTACTTTGAAAAATTTACATGTACTCAAACCCTTTTTGATGACGGTGGTATCCGGGCCAGCTTGCGCGCGCTCTATCTGATCCATTGGGTAGCGGCTACCTCCCACCAGCACGATGTAGTCAGACCTATGTTACAGCAGTCTAATGCGAGTAGGTCTAGGCAAATGAGTATTCATATTATATAACTATGCTTGTTACAACAGTCTAATGCGAGTAGGTCTAGGCAAATGAGTATTCATATTATATAACTATGCTCGTGGTCTATACTGGGGCGGAGCTAGGCCTGGATACGGGTTCAGCCGAACCCAGTAGTTTTTGCTCAAACAGTATTTTTGTGTTAAGAAATTCATTAAATATGGTATAAGATATTAAATTTATAACCCAGCTATTAGCACTTATCGTCATTCTGAAATTCAGAATCCATAAAGTTGAAATGATGGTTCTGGTGCTGAGATGACAAACCTATAAGTTATTAATGGTTTGTTCAGAATTAGCTTCCTTTATGATGTGTTTGAAGAGGGGTGTGAATCATGCTCTTCGAATTTCTTGGTTTCTAATTTGTTCAGAAGTCTTGTCTTTTCCAATAGCTGGAGAAAGTTGTATATTATGTTCTGATGCTTTGTCTTGTTTGAACGATTCACTTGGCTTTTGTTGGGTTAATGTACTTCCCCTGCCAATAGATTTTTTGTTGAATTAATCTAATTTTTCTGTTGCTACACTTTCACTAAGATTGGCGATTGACATAGGTCGTTGTTTGGATGTGTTGAGACAAGTGCGAGATTTGGAGACCTCTAGTTGTAGAGAGCCCCTACTTTGTCTTAATGAGAAACTGTTTGGTATTGGATTGAAATGGTCTTGAATAAGAGGATTCATATCAGTGACCCTGATTAATTTGGATATGAAATGCTTGGTTGTCAATTGCTTGTATCATTTTGAATTATATGCTTGGCATTTGTTGCTTTTATAAGTGTGATGCATTGTTATCAAAGGCGAAAAGCTCAGAAAAGTTCTAAAGTCCGTTGGGGCTTTAAGCGCAAATAAATTGTGGGCTTTAATAAGAGGTGAGCCAATAGAGAAAAAGTACAAATATGTATGCGACACGAGGTGGCGTTAACGAGAGGCCGGAGGTTTGGAGGCAGGCCCTTGAGTCTAAGGGTTTCAGGCTGAGCAAGACTAAGACAGAGTACCTGGAGTGCATGTTCAGCGCCGAGTCTAGGGAAGCGAGCATGGACGTGAGCTTGAATCACAGGTCATCCCCAGTAGAGGATGGGTTATCCCGGGGATGGGGAGATCGACGAGGATGTCACACATCGTATTGGGGTGGGGTGGATGAAGTGGAGGCTAGCATTTGGAGTCATGTGTGACAAGAAAGTGCCACCGATACTCAAAGGTAAGTTTTATAGAGCGGTGGTTAGACCGGCCATGGTGTATGGGGTTGAGTGTTGGCCAGTTAAGAACTCACATATCCAGAAAATGAAAGTAGCAGAAATGATGATATTGAGGTGGATGTGCGGGAACACTAGGATAGATAAGATTGGAAATGGTGATATTCGGGAGAAGGTGGGCGTGGCTCCCATTGATGACAAGATGCGGGAAGCGACGCTCAGATAGTTCGGGCAAATACAGAGGAGAAGCCTAGATGCACCGGTGAGGAGGTGTGAGCGACTGGCTTTGGAAGGCACGAGAAGAAGTAGAGGGCGTCCTAAGAAGTATTGGGGAGATGTGATCAGACAGGACATGGCGTGGCTTCAGATTTTCGAGGACATGGTCCTTGATAGGAAGCTGTGGAGGTCGAGTATTAGAGTTGTAGGGTAGGAGGTAGTTGCGCCTATTTCTATTTCGTAATTATGTGAGGCTAGTTTTATAGGATTTTTGTCTTAGACTGCTAGTGGTTAATGTTGTGTTCTCACTACTCTTTCGTTTTTCATAGTGTCGGGACTATTTACTGGTTATTGCTATTGCTTTTCATCTATTTTCTGATTTTTATGATGCTGTTATTATTCTTTTGGTTTCTGTTGATGGTACTGATATATTGTCTCTTTTTATCTTTTTGAGCCGAGGGTCTTTCGGAAACAGCCTCTACTCTCTCGTGGTAGGGGTAAGGTCAGCGTACACACTACCATCCCCAAACACCACTAGTGGAATTTTACTGGGTCGTTGTTGTTGTTGTTGTTGTTGTATTCCAAGACTAATAATTATAAGCATGAATAACAAATATATGGACAGAGAAATTGAAAAATACTTACCATAAAGTGAAAGATCAATTGTTTAATGTTGTCTCTCCAGGATTATGGTCTCCGGCGAAGAAAAAGTATTTCTTAGAGCCTTGATGACGACATTGAAGCGTCCACTAAGCGAGGCCAAGTGCTCAACATGTTTTGCGCGTAGCTTCAGAGCTTAAGCGTGCTTTTGATAACATTGTGTGATGCACGAACGGAAGAAACCTGTTTACTTTTGATTCATTTTATTCATGTCTTCATGTTCACCGGGACTACCTTGGGCATTGGTTGCGTTTTACTGTCTCGCTACATCTATGCTTTTCTCTTTATATGTTGTTTGGTCATTTTTTTTTTTCCCGACAAATAAGGTAAGAGATTTCATCAAAATGCACCAAGCGGGAGCGTCCTATGTACAGCAAAAAGGATTTCATCCTCCCTCATTTTAAACCTGCAGGCTGTTTTTTGGTTATTTCCAAACGTCAAGTTGCTGAAATCTAGTTTTCTTCTCACTTCCTTAGCTTGCCTCTTAAGCCTTTAGTTTTCCCTCCTTTGATGAGCTTGTTTAATTATTACTTACATGAATTTCCTTTGAAGTACCAAGGATTAAGCAAAGGTCAAATGGGAAAAGCAAGTTTGGTTTAATTCTATTAGCTACTCTCAACCTACAAAATCATTATGCATAGTGGAGATGCTTTTACCTTAAAAATTCATGTATAATATAGGACTCTCTCTCTTGTGGTTATTGAGCTAGGTCATTCGAAGTCTAAGTCCAATCTTGAAGCTATATGAGCGAGTTTGTCTTAGGAAAACGATAGGCACCATTTGGCTTAGCACAAAGTTTAAGAAAACAAGGAAGACTTTTGAAATTTGTGGTCTAAAATAAGCAGCAGCCATTTGTATGGCCACAAATTATGGTAAAATAAAAATTTTAAAGTTAAATTGTATCTAAATATGGAAAAGTGACATTCTTTTTGGACAGATTGGAAAGGAATGAGTGCCACATAAAGTGGGACGGTAGAAGTATTGAATAACTTAAGCCTTGAGAATAGCTCATGGCACAACTTAGTTCTCCTACACCCTGTTTCTCAATGTTAAGTTATGTTACCCAAGTTCAGATACAATTATGAGATTCACGAACTAATACAGCACAGGGATGTTCAATTTTTGCTAGTCTTTAATGTATCTTTCGGATTTATACGAAAGCAAGTTGAATCTGTGGCTTGAAGTGTGAAAAATGTATTGGTGTTTTATTGCCTTCTATGCCAACTTATTAGTGTTATTTTAGATCAAGCACCTAGGAGCTAGGATTTATGGGGCCCCTTATTGCGCTGCTCATAGCTTGTAAAAAGCCATAAATGAAATCTTGATGATCTGTTCATATGCAGTTTATTGATGCTTTTTCCTGAACTGTGTTTGGAATCTTAAGATTTTATTTCTGGCCAAAGAACAGAAGATGTGATTCTGGAGTCAACTCCAATTCCGTTTCTGTGGATTTGTGGCAAAGCGTGGTGAGGCAAACTAGGATTGAGCATTTCCAAGAATGAGCTTGTTCTACTGATGTGAGATGTACAAAACAAGACTCTTAGCGAGCTACCAACTATTTGGTGGATAGTAGAGATACCAGAAGTTGACCAAGCTACCGCCAACTGTATGATGGCTATTGATGATTTGATGATATGTAGGGTATTTATATGCCAATTTTCATGTGGAATAAGCCTCAATTTGAAACATCCGTAAATATAGACCGGTTATAATATAATGTCTTAGTTTAACTAATCCAAGGAATTAGTTGTTCTGGACTTGTATGACCTCATTGTTTTGCATGTAGGAGAAAGCAATTAGTTCATCTCATGAAAAAAGGGAAATTTAAGAGCCTATTTACTTCATATGCAAAGCTCGCATTTAGGAATATATGTTCATGCAGTCAATGTAATACAATATTTGGTTCCAAATTGTTTCTTTTCGTGTCATAATAAAGGAAGCAAGGCATATTATTTTATTTTTTCCTTGTATCAGAATTTTAAATTTGTTTTGACAAGTGCTTGAGTCAGTCTTCTGACTAGGGAAAGCATGTCTTTGGATATGCACAAAAATTCTTGACTTAATGTCTTTTTTTACAGTTTATCCTGTTTTGACTTTCAGGTGACATTCATGGTCAATATTCTGATCTTCTGCGGCTTTTTGAGTATGGTGGATTGCCTCCTCAATCAAACTATTTATTTTTAGGGGATTATGTTGATCGTGGCAAGCAGAGCCTAGAGACTATATGTCTTTTACTTGCATACAAGATAAAATATCCCGAAAACTTTTTCTTGCTTAGGGGAAACCATGAATGTGCTTCCATAAACCGCATATATGGATTTTATGATGAATGTAAGAGAAGATTTAATGTTAGATTATGGAAAATCTTCACAGATTGCTTCAATTGTCTGCCAGTGGCTGCCTTAATAGATGAAAAAATTCTATGTATGCATGGAGGCCTCTCTCCCGATTTGAACAATTTAGACCAAATCAGAAATCTCCAGCGCCCGACGGATGTGCCGGATGCTGGTTTGCTCTGTGATTTGCTTTGGTCTGATCCTAGTAAAGATGTTCAGGGATGGGGAATGAACGACCGCGGAGTTTCATACATTTTTGGCGCAGATAAGGTGACGGAATTTCTTGAGAAGCAGGATTTGGATCTTATCTGCCGTGCTCACCAGGTCTAAACCCACTGCTGTAAACTTTTCTTCGCTATCTAAGTGTATTTATTTATGCTTATAATCAGTTGTCAGTGGTCTATTAATTGAAATGGTCTATGGTTGGAAAGGGGCAATCACGAGGTTCAGACAAGGTTTCCTTGTTTGCATTCTTTGATTAAATCTCCTAATTCCTTGAAAGTTGTTACAGGTGGTGGAGGATGGGTATGAGTTTTTTGCTAATCGGCAACTCGTAACCATATTTTCTGCACCTAATTATTGTGGAGAGTTTGACAATGCTGGCGCTATGATGAGCGTAGATGAGACGCTAATGTGTTCCTTTCAAATACTAAAACCTGCTGAAAAGAAGTCCAAATTCAACTTTGGAAGTACAACTACTGCTAAACCGGGATCTCCCACTGGAATGAAGGTAAAGAAAATAATTGCTTTTTACATAAACTCTCTTAGATGATTGATTTGGGAGGTGGTTGTTTTTTCCTATAAGCAGGAATCACTTGTTTAAGAGATGTTTTATTTTTAAAAAATTCAAATAGATAATAGGAGTTCAGTTCTTATATGCCTCATGTAACATTAGCTCCGCGGTTTCAGCTATGGATTTCCTATTCTACCCATAGGTATTTTTTGTTATTACACCTTAGCAGAAACTTTGTCCTTCAAGTTTCTGCAATTGAAAACATATTGTGATGCTAAATTCTTAGTATCTCTCCCTCGAAAAGTGAATTTTGGTTATAAAACACTCTCCTTTTATAATTTTTTTCCAATAATAAAAAGAGAACTATCCTTTTTATTACTGCCTATCGTTTAGTTGCTACCGTGGCCTTGGTCTTCTTTTTATCATGTTGTTGTTACTACTTGTTGCCATTACTTCTTTTCATCTTTTCTTTAGCCGAGAGTCTATCGGAAACAGTATCTTTGCCCTTCCACGGTCTGTGTATATCTTACCCTTCCCAGACCCTTCCCAGACCCCACTTGTGGAATTTACTAGGCTTGTTGTAAAAAGAGAACTATCCATAATATAAATGTCTAACTCTACGCCACTGGCTCTCGAAGATTTCTCAGCAATTAAAAAAATAAGTAAGAAAGAGAATAAACATCCAACTCTATCAACATTTTAAAGTTGTCTTTCTAGTGGGAAAATCTGGAGAGGTGGAAATGAGGGGGAGTGGAAGCTAAAGTTGATCACTATATATTTAAGTTTATATTCTTACATATAGATCTCAATTTAAATCCTAGTTAGTGGTCTATCCGAAGGCATCGTGATATCTAGATTTCCTGCACCCTCTTTTGCACTCAAGGGTGTGGCATAGCGGTCAATGAATAGGGCGAAAATCATCGAAAACCAGCTTTTGAATCCTAATAGAGACGATAAAAAAGCTAGGTGGTGGGCTGAGTTACTCGATACCTATGCTGGTGAGAGACCTCGACAGAATAATTAAGGTGCGCGTGCAAGTAGTCTGGATTCCACCATTGTCAAAATAAAAAGAAAAAGATAAAAAAATGAGATGTCCTGCACCCCCTTCTATATTTCCTTTAAAGTTTAAAACATCGGCTAGTTTATCTACTAACACTATTTGTTTTGAATGTGTTTCAGTCTACTTGCTTACTGTTGACCTGCCTGGTGAAATATATAAATGTGTGTCTGTTAGTTAAATGAGGGTACAACTTGAAACTATGTGTTTACTGCAGTCCTTTCTTAATGTCAAAGTATGTGAACCGGCTTCATGCGGGAATTAAGCAAGAACTGTTAACGCTTGAAATTACTGTTTGTTGCAGTCCTTTTTTAATGCCAAAGTGTGAGAGTCAGCTTCACACGGGGATTAAGCAAGAACTGTCCGACGCTTAAAGTTACTGTTTACTGCAGTCCTTTCTTAATGCCAGAGTATGAGAGCCAACTACTGGAGTTGCCACAGAAGGCATTAAGAGTGAATAGGTTAATTACCCAAACTTGATGATCATTTTAACCATGGTGGACATGTAAAAAGTATGAGAAAATGATGGAAAACCATACTTGTCACTGTTTTTTTGCCTTTATATGTTGTTGGGGATCAACAGAGAGCTCAAAATTCTTTTTTTTCCCTGTTTCAATTGTAAGCTATGCATCTCTTTATTTTATGCAACTAATCTATAACGTTTCAGGTCTCTCTCTATGTCAGTGCATGTATATGTGTGTGTCCGTGCGTCTTTATGCAGTATGTATATGTGTGTGTGCGCGTGCTCACTGTTACGCGGCGCCTTCCTGAAGTTCCTTGGAAGGGCGACGTAAGGCTAGGCAACCGATGTCAGTACGGTTGCTGTCCGCCAACTGAGGTCCCCTCCGTACGCTAGACTAGATTGTCAGTGCCGTACGGGAAAACCAATGTCATGAGCAATTGAAAGAGAGCAGAAAAGAGAATTGAGAATGAAAGAAAGCTTGATTGCATTGAATGAAAGCTATTACAGAAAACAAGACGGTGTCGGGGGGGAGAGACACCAGTACAGAGAATTGTTTGCTTGCTTGAAAGTTTTGATTGCTTGGTCCCCCTTAATAATGCTTAAAAAAAATAAACCAAAGTTACATGACTAGACCTATGAAAGCTGGAAAATCACACTTAAAGAAAATGCAGCAAAACTACTCTATATTTACAATGAAAAGGACTTAGTCTTCTACAAAGCAGCAGCAAGTCCGTTGGCAGCAACTTTGTCTTTAGCATCAGGGTCTGCGCGCGCGGC